TTTCTTTGTCCATTACGTCAGCAGTACAAACACGTTGGATTCTCTTAAATAGACATTTTACCAAGCCTCTTTTATACTGTAATGGACAGAAACTGTGAAAATTAAGGTATTGGCCTGTCCAAGTGGGCTTTCTGTAGATTGATCATCTTATTGAACCATCATCTCTTCGACTCAGAAGTATATCTAAAAATGCAACCTGGTTGCAACTTTCTTCCTCGCATGTAAGACTAATATGATTCTGTACAGAGTTAAGTCTGTCTAATAGACGACTCACATCTTCATGATCGTCGCGTATCAAAATGATATCATCTACATATCCCCTATAGAAGGGCAATTTCGAAATTAAATCAAGGGACAAGTTCTCAACATAAGACATGTAAACATCAGCTAACAAAGGTCCTAATGGACTCCCCATAGCAACGCCATCCACTTGTCGAAAATGTTCATCTTCAAACGTGAAATGGACGTTGTCAGTACATAATAGTAATAAATCTTTCAAATAAGTTGAAGGAAAAGGAAATGAAGAGCAACTAGAAGATATATAGTCACAAAGAATATCAACAGTCTTAACCAGTGGTACATTAGTAAACAAAGAATTAACATCAAATGAATACATTTTCCTATCTTTTATGTTCATATCTACAAGACAGTCAACAAGTTCAATCGCATATTTCATTACGTACCGGAATTAAAACGTCAGGTAACCATCTTGCTAACTTATGTGTGGGAGAGTGACACATTGATAGAACTGGACGTAATGGATTATCAGCTTTTCAGATAATCCTCGCCTTCTAATAACACTATCCAAACTTGTATGTTTTGAAGAAACAATTAGTTGTAATTTTGAAATTCATGAGAGATTCAATTAATAAAATTCTTAGAAGTTGCCTATCGGTAACGATTCAAAGGATGTTCTTTGATACATCGCCACGTCATCTTCTGGATACATGATCTTATTCATCAAAAAGTTAAAGACAAGATTCCTTGGCGACACACTTCTAAGCCTCACCGACTTTACTAGCTCGTTATTATTAGCCTGGGAGAGATAAAAAGCGTAGATTCAGTTATCATGGAGTTAACAACTGTACCCCCATCCATATAACACCATCATTACTGAAATCAAAAGATTTGTCAGTCGTATGCACGCATCTAATCATGGCAATAATGTTTTCTGGTGTTTGTATACTTCATTCGGTAAATACTTCACCTCAGTAGTAATAGGGGTGGTGATGTAAATGCCTAATTTAAACAGGAATTTTAAAGAATTTAACACTGATCAGTTTTTAAAATATAACTAACATTAATGACCGTGAGGAAAACTGCTTACTTACGCTTGTCGTCGTTAAAAACACAAAATAGATTATCACGTCGCTTTCAGGATTTCATCATAAGTAGACATTAGTTAGAGAACCATTGGAACATCTGGGAGTACTGGACAGCTGTTTTATCTCAGTTTGAAACTCTTCAAAAGTACGTAACCACCGGGGTTCGAACCCAGGATCTTCTGGTGAAGTCACTGAGACCCAATCCAATGGCCAGTCCATGAATTCTAATTTCTGTGAATTATTGGTCTATGAGCTCGCCTCGAAACCTGAGCCTCCTGGATTCGAACCCTACGGTGTGGTTGCGTTCTGTTGAAGCAGAGTCACAAATTACGACGAAATAGGCAGCTGTCCAATACTCCAGTGGTGGTTTTCCAATGGTTCTCTAGCCAATGTCAGCTCATCGTGATGAAATTCTGTAACCAAGCAATCAAATTCCTACAAACCGACAATTGAATATAGATTATCAAGTATTTATTTGTTAGGAATTTGTTTGATTGGTTGGAGGATTTCATCATGAGGAGTTGACACCGGTTAGAGAACCATTGGAAAACCGCCACTGGAGTACTGAACAGCTGATTGTTTCGTCCTAGTTTGGGACTGTGCTTCAACAGTGCGCAACCGCACCATGGGGTTGAAACCCAGGACCTTCAAATTAAAACGCCAGCTAGCTCGTAGACGGTTAGCCCACTGGGACCCGCCAGTTCAATGGCCATTCCATGAATTCTAACTTCTGCGAATTCATGACATAGCGTGTCCACTTCGCAATGTCTTCTTCGATGAATTACTGCTTCATCTTCAACCCGATGCATCCTACTGGTCACGGCTTCCCACTAAAACACCAGGTTAACTGCCTAAACAGGGCCAATCGTTAGTGACCACCTCATATGGTCAGAGTTCTCTTCCCGGCCGATACACCTCAAAAACCTAACTTAGCCGGTACACAGTGAAAACTGGACAATCAATGTCACAGAAAGACTGTTTGGAAAATCTCTCTTGAACGAATTAATCACAATATTTTTACTGTTTTTGGATGTTTCAACTAAATCTTCAGTAAATATCGATTTTTCTCCTAAAGTGGATACCACTGTTTCGAACATTTGCATATCTCATATCGATTTGATTCCTGTTAAAATATCTAATTTCAGTGCTTCTGTTTGTTGTTGTGTGATACATTGGTGATGTGTGTACAATGTGATTTTGTTTTAGTGAATCACGATCATTCTGACCTTGAACTGTTGACATGAAGTGTTGGTGTATGATTCTTGTAGACACAGTTCGCCATCCAACCTTATTGGGAATATTCTAATTGATTCTAAGTACTGGTTTTGTACTTCAACTGAACTGTATACCTGCCTAATGGCACAGTTGAGGTAATATTGGGTTTTCCACGTAAATACTGTTTAAGAGAACCGTAGAATTATTGGTGAATAATCGTCATTTCCCAATCAATGAATGAAACCACCCAAAGAACTTCATCAATAAAATCAACTCCAACAATAAATATGGTCAGAAACGTATTCCGAAGACATGGGTCTTAATAGTTGTCATTCCATACACCACCATCAGATTCGTCAGACGATATCAGAAAGGTACTCAATAAGCACAGCATCAGAGTTTTCTTCAAAACATCAGACACACACACACTACAAAGCAAACTTGTCCATGTAAAAGAACGAATCCCTAAGGATTCCCTATTTAATTGTCCAAAGAATAAAATGCTTGGAATGGGATGCGATATACATCGGACAAACCTCGAGAAAGATAGAGAGAGAGAGAAAGGAATCAAGATCAAAAGAAATGAACACGATAGACCACCTGTTCGACCAACCACCGAGAATCCAATTAGGGAACTAGAAAAGTTTGAAAAATAATTAGTCATAGGTCTACACGCTATTGAATCAGGCCACAAAATTGATTTTGATAATACTGAAATAATCCATAAATAAAATTTCAGAAATCAAAATGAACATCTGATATCAGAAGCACTTCATATTGAATGGAGTCCAAATTATCTGAATGGGAATGAAGGACTAAAACAGAATTTGACCTAGTTACAACACCCCATCTCCCTCAAAAATTGATAAAATCAACACGGATGTGATAAGCAATTTCACTATGTAAACACACGCCGCTTTTATAATTTTACACATTCATCAAATCCAACAATCTACACCTGGTTTTGTTATCTTTTGTGGCCCCAAAAATATGCACGAGTGACACATTGATGGATGAGTTTCGACATATAGTTTTATTAGCTAATGGTTATCCAGAAAACCTTATCACTTGTCACAGTGAAGACAGACCACATCTCCAAAAGACAGCTTCTGTACCAAAGAAAGCTATCTTTATTATCCTACCACTCGAGAGTGGGTGACCAGATTATGCAGTTGACAGCTAGCTCAAAGACTTCGGTCAGGCATCAAACGCACACATTCTACGCCGCATCTCTTTTTCTCACTTGTCGAACATTTTCGGTCCCTGTACCCACACGATTAAAGGACAAAATTCTGTGGACTCTACTTCATTCTGTATCTACAAGTTCACCTGCAGTTGTTGTGGTGACACCTATATAGGTAGAACCAATAGAATGTTTCCATGTCGTCGAAAAGAACATGTTTCCAAAATGGCTACTAATTCATATAGAAAATCCCGATACGATTAATCTGAATAGAAGTCCAGCCTCATCCATTGCAAAACACTTATTAATGTTTGGTTACAAAATCAATATCAATTAATCACTGTTTCAAAATTATTTCACATATCTCTAATTCAAGGTTGTTGGAGTTGATGGAAGCACTTTGGGGGATTACTCACATACATCGTAAACTGAGTGTACAAAAATCAATAGACTTCAACCTTCGCCTACCATGAACTGACTACATGACCTATTGAAATATGACTGGTCATTAGTATGTACTTTTATTTTTTTAATTTAACTGAGTAATTGTCATGCATATACTTTATTTTATTATTGTTAACCATGTTAGTTGAAAAGAAACTACAAAATGATGTCATTGTCTCGCGAAATTTGTCTTCTGAATGCCGTATTCAAATTTATCAAAGGGACTAATTGTTCTAATCGTATATATATATATATATATATATATATATATATATATATATATATATATATAAGTTGAATGGATTTTGTAAATTCTGGTTTAATATTACCACTTTGATAAAATGTTATTTTATTGTCTTTGGAGTGTTTTGTAACATTGTATATTTCTGAAAGGAAGTTTCCTTCAGCTGTACAACAGAGATCAATTTCCTGAGTGTTCATACCTTACAATCGATCGATAAAAAAAAACAATCCCCCCGTCTCATAATTTCTTCTGAAACTGCACAACTCAAGCTCGAAGACCTATGTTCCACTCAGAAAGCAGAGGAGTGAAAATCTATTTGACTGTCTAATGATATACCCAACCCTTCTGTCCAATACACCACAACACAACCCAACACATCCCTCCCCGAAGTCGTCAGGAATAGACAGACAAAAAAGAAAGCAAATTGATTGAGATAATTCATAATAAGTCATTACTACTACTATTATTATTAGCAGTAGTATCATCGTAATCTTTCAAATAAAATATCCTATTTACAAAATAACAATAATATTAATAATAATAATAATAAAAGGACTATCCTGTATATACTACTAATTAAGTAATATGTTGTATGTAAAGGTAATACTAGAAAATAGGAGAAAGGACGCATTAGTTATTATTAGTGATGTGTGGAGGTGCGTGTGTGTAGGGGGGGGGTTCGTTCGTGCGTGCGTGCATTTGTGTGTGTGCTTTTTGAGCATTCTTCAGTGCGTATATATTTGTGCGTTAAAACATTATCTATATAAAGCCTTCTAAAAAAGGGAAAGGGTTAAGTAGTAAACGCTGAACCATTCATTCATCAAGAAATGGTGTCATACTATTTCATATTTCAAGAAAACATTTGAACTCCTAAGCTCTACTCACATCTGTTGTATTTTTTTTCTCCTTGTGTATTATATGAGTAGCAAGTACTACAACAACGACGACTACTGCTACTACTAAAGTACTTTTATTAGTAATATAACTAATAAATTCGAAAATAATATATATATATGTGTGTTTATGTGTATATGAAATTTATCTCTTGACATTTGTCATGGATTTATCTACTATTCGTTAATATCATCTTTGGTAAACTTTCATTAAACGCGGCCGCCGCCGCCGACAACAACAACGGCGAAAAACCCAGAGAGAGAGAGGGAAAGAAAGAAATGGACTTCAGGAAAAGAATTTTCTGGTAATCAATTGAAATAAAATACTACAAAAACAAAAACAAAAAAGCAAAAATAGAAATAAATTGAAAGAAAAACGAAGGGGGAAACATTGTGTGTGTACCTGTGTGTCTGTGTGTTTCTTTTTCATTCACCTTTCTGGTCGTTCATGAATATGCAGAAAAGTCAGTAAAGGATATCTGGAAATCTGTGATTCATTTAAACATTTGTAAGCCAGTAATTAACACAATTGTTACTAACGACTAACTCTTCTTCATAGCAGGTAGATATTATGAAGATAGGATGACCAGTTATTGACGTTTCAGCATGATATTGTAATCCCTTCAGATGTTTCTAAAGCTGCTATAACCATATGCTTAATAACTGGTTCAAGTTTATCTGAACTCAGTTGAAATATACACTCCATATAATGTCGTAACCATGGTGATGGTGAATTCAGTGGTAAATCAATACATGAATGAAGTGTTTGAAGTAAATGCATCAATTGACCTTGACGTGTTGGACAACCTTTTAAAACAGTTTGATAATATCGAATAGCATAATCTTTTGCTTGTTGAAAAGTTTCTAGATAGAAATTGATTTGAAATTTGAAGAAAAACAAAAATATGTAACTCTGAGATTAGTTAGTTTAAACAAAATAAATATCTGTTCAACAAAATAAATGTTTGAATTTCTAACTTGGCGGACTGTTTAAACCACTGAGCTTCTTAAATTTTGCTCTATTTTGATACATCTAATTCTCTTTGTTTTTCGCTGTTTTAATCCACCAATTTATGTTTGTGGATCTCAGCATGGACTCATGCAAATTTTTAATTCACTTTTAATCTGCCATTCTGAGCTTCAAGAAAAAAATGAAAGAGGAATGTCGTAGATGATGAGTTGGTCTTGTAACACACATCATACGACAGACTGGCGATGAATATTCTATACGGGCAGTGGATATTTCACAAGAAATTATACTGAAATTTCTGTACTGTGTGTAACCAGAAGTGTTCGGCCTGTGTTGATATGTTGACTTCTTATGCAGGAGGCTTCGACGATGTTTGAGGTCCAGTCAATGGACAGGAAAATCAAAATTGAATTAAAAAGGAATAATAACTGACTTTTGTTGCACAAGAGGAGGCTCACATGACCCAGACAGTTCAGTGGATAATGCTTTGGTGTTTGAAAAGATAAACAGTGAATTCTAGCCTCACTGGGCAATGTAAGTACATCCAGATGACGAGCCTCGGACAGGATGAAATGCACATCCTGATCAGTACATTTTAGTGACCCAAAGAATGAAGAAAATGCGATGGGTAGATGTTGGATGGAAATTCAGATGTCCCAGTGATTCAGTCAGACCTCCAAAACAAGTTTTATGGATCTACTTAATATAATCCATCAATTATACGGTTATTTTCATCGCCTAGGTATATATGCATACACGTATGAAATATAACCGAAGCTCTTCACTTCTCAAGTGTTGACCACAACGATATTTCGCTGATTTTATGATTTTATTGCACCACTAATCACTTACATCTAAAGAACAAATGAGAAATCATTGATCAGTGAACAGGTGCTTCGTTCTAGTCCTGAAGTCTTCAGTAGTATGTACCCATCATCCCACCTACAGGGGATTGCATCTAGAATCTTCAGATTATGTACCTTTGAACTAGAGTTTCTGATTTCATGAATTCAGTCGTTTGTCAATTCACGTCATCCAGTTTCGTCAACTTAGACAGCACTACCAGCTCCGATTCCTTCTTTCTTTCTTGTATTTGACTACTAATCAACCGTGAGTTGGGTATCCGGTGTTGAATTTTCGAGCTTTCTATGGAGTAAAAAAAATCCAAAGGAGCAGTATATTCTTAGTTGATAATGGCTAACAACTGACTTTAGAAGGGCAGTTTACGAATCAGAAGTCCAATACTCCTTTCTAGCAACGCTGATTTCCGAGTACAGGAAAGATTCCTGATCTCCAATTAAACAATTTCTAGTTGGCTTTTACAGGCAGCCTTGGTTGACCAGTCTACTTTATTCCAGTCCTGGAGAAAAGCCAAGAGACTAATAGACTCCATTTCATATTCAGCTGACCATCTGAAAGTCGAATTTCACTTCGATTAGACGGTATTAAGCCGGGAAAGTTGAGAATGTTGGACTAGTATCAGGCTAGTATGAGACCGCATCTCATAAAGTGAAACAATATCATCACCGATAACTGTGGAAGCGTGTTGTCAAAGAGAAACAAACTGAAAAAAAACATCTAGATGAATCAGTTAAACCGTCAACTATGAACTTACTACTGTGTATATCTGAGTTAATATCCGTAGTCTTCGTCTCCTTCTTGCTCTTCATTAATGGATTAAATAATATCATCATTTTTAACCAATCAATTTCATCATCTTTTAATTTTAAAACAATAAATTCATTGAATAATTGAATAATTAAATTGGACTCAGTGAGAGTAGTTATTGGATCTATAGAATTGAAAAAGAAATTTAAATAATGTTGAAAACTGGGAATGTGAATCAAAGTAGTGCTGCATTGTATAACTTGAATTTAAATTTGTTCATTCAATAGATGGGATAGTTTTCAGGTTTTGTAGAGAACTTTGTTTGTTTGTTTGATTGGTTGGTTGGTTGGAGGATTTCATCATGAGGAGCTGACATCGGTTAGAGAAGCATTGAAAAACTACCACTAGAGAACTGGACAGCCGTCTCTTTCGTCAGTCTAATTTGGGGCTGATCAGGGTTCGAAAAGCCAGGATCTTCTGGTTACAAGGCGAGGTAGCTCGTTGACCATTAAGCTACTGGGACCCGATCCAATGGCCAGCCAATGAATTCTAACTTCTGCCAATTCATGACATAGCTTAATAGTCTATGCGCTAACTCCCGGGTTCGAACCCCACAGAGTGGGTGCGTACTGTTGAAGCAAAGTCCCAAATTAGGACGGAATAGGCAACTGTCCAGTACTCTAGTGGTAGTTTTCCAATGATTCTCTAACTGATTTCAGCTCATGTTGAAGTCCCCAAATCAACCAAACAAATAAAATCCATACCAAAACAATATTTGATTATTGATCCGATGCTTACTAGCGACTAGCCCTATTTAGATAGGTAGTTACCTGGGTTCTAGTGGGAAGCCGAGACTAGAAGGTCGATGTTGAAGACAGTTACTCATTGAAGACGACATTGTGAAATGGTCGTGCTATGTCATGAATTGGCAGAAGTTAGAATTCATGGGCTGGCCATTGGATCGGGTCTAAGATTAGATAATTCCTAATTGATATAGGTATAAAACTTGGGCACTGTGGTAGAGCATAACTCCATTATGGATAAGATTTTATTTTGATAAATAGCACAGTATTGTGCAGTAATATTAACTGTAATATTACTGTACAATACTGTGCGATTTACCAAAGTAAAATTTTATCTATAATGGATAATTCCTAATTGATTTTACTGCATAAGCAAATTTGATTTACCGCCACAAATTTAAATATTCCCGTTAAGATAATTTTACAAAACACGATTTAAACAAGCAAATATGTATTTTTTTTCCTTTGGTAAATTCTTATGAGGCTTTATAACTAAGTACTAAAATGTCAGTCATAGACATTTGAAAAAATGAGGATGAATCGAATCAAATATATAATCAAATCCTATGAATACGAGTTAGGAGATAATAGTAGAGGTGGCCACGATTGACATCATTCTACATTAAGTTTTGAAGGCTATGCAAGGCAGAGGGATCAAACAAACGTTCTGTGAACATAGAGACTGGATTGGGAGTATTTAATGGCGACTACCTCCGCCATACTTAGCATTCGAAAGCGTACAAATCTAGGGAAGTGAAAAGGCACCTTGTATAGAATTGTAAAGGCGGAATTTTTATCAACCTTGTGCTCCGTATCCACTAGGTGTGCCGATAGGATACTCCTGATTGACTTTACGACTCCTTTTCCTAACCACGTTGGACAATGCTCAAGGAGGTAAAGATGGGCTTTCTGAGTCATGCGTCTGATATAACTGTCTTCACAAGAACAGCTAAACTTATAAATGCACATCAGATCACAGGAATTATTGAAAAGATGGTTGCAGAGAAGAAAATTCTCACTTCGACTAAGTCATCAACTGGATCGAGCTGTGGATTCGTGTATTTATATTAAATGTGCGAGTAAGTTCCAGAATTATTTCCCATCAGATATCAGATTAATAAAACTACTAGGTGTAGTAAACAGAAGATACGTAGGTAGTGATGCAATTCTAGAAATATCCCAGGTCAAAGGTCAAATTAAAAATTACAATGTGTAATAATCATGAAGATCGGGTAGAAAATACAAAACAGGATTATAATTACTAGAAAACTAGTCAGTTTGTATAACTACGGGTTAAGGATGGAGTATTAGCGAAATGGCTGGGTGGTTCGGATGTATAAAAATAAAAAAAAACAGTAACGGAATCTAATACTCCAGAGAGGGATTTAAAAGGTAAACATAACAAAGAAACGGGAAGGTTGAACAAGAAAGGTGATAGGATAATCATTATTGGTAAGACTGACTTTTTATGATTGCCACGGTAGGGATTTTCAACTGACATGAGTTAGAAAATCACCAGTGCACCGGTGGTTCAGGGATAGAATGCTTCTCGACCACAACTCACGTGATCTAGTGTTCTATCGCCGGCCTAAACCTCTTTTCATAAGCCAGAAGTTAGACAGGCCAAGAGGGGAGTTTGGGCGTAAGGCTAGTGACCACACTCCGTAAAAAAAGGTAGAACCACTGTTATCGAAACTTCAAGGCTGAAGCTTGTTCCACTCATAAATCAAAGGAAAAAAATGAAATGAATGAGAGAATCATTAAAATCTGATAAATCCATTGACAGCTGTTTCGCTCTAGTTTGTAACACTTATCAACGGCACGGCATAGAATTCTTCTGAAAATTTATGACCCATAATTTCATCATTCTGGCGTGTAGAAGTATAGATAGCTGCTGACATTGACACAAGTCAACAGGAACTATAACTTATGGGCAATCGGATTCAAGTACTGTTGAAGAGTCGCAAACTAGGACGAAATAGCTGTCCAGTAACTCTTTAACTGATATCACTTGTAAAACACATTTTGAAATTTACTCACCTGTATCTTGACTTTTTATAGTCGGAGTTAATAAACTCGCCAATGGTTTACAAACGAATTCAATCCATAGGTAGTGCATTTTTTTCAACATAACCGAACGATACTCATCCTTATTATTATTACTACTATCATCACCATTATCATGCGCATCGTTCATCTCACCATTATTATTATTATTATTATCTAATGACATTTTATAAAATTCTATAAATAATGTTAAACTAAATAATAAATCCCATTGTTTACACATTGAATGAATCATGTCGAATTTACTAATGGGAAAATTGAAATTCTCCAGAATTTTATTATCTGGTCTATACTGACATAACCATTGGATAATTTGAAACATCATCTGGCTTAAATAAAATTGTCTCATGTATAACGGCAAAGATGTTGTTGATGATGATGATGATGATGTTAGAGCTGAGGACAATGTTGACGCTGATGTCGATGATGACGATGATGATGAGGGTGAGGAGACTGTTGAAGAGGAGAACGATGAAGAAGAATTCGAAGACAGTGATGTTGCTGACGAAGGAGTGAAAAAATGTGACTGCAAGAGTAAATCACCTGGTTTATTATATTCATATATTGGATCATAGATCTGATTCATAGACGATGGATTTCTATTATTATTATTATTATTATTATTATTATTATTATTATTATTGATCAATAATCCTGCCTCTGTGGAGATTGGTGTATTTTTCCCTGACTGACTTCCTGACAATATTGATGATGGTGATTGTGACTGCAATTCCTTCGATGCTACAGTTAACTGACATTTTTTTGTATCTAAATAAATAACAAGGAGTAGATGGTTAAATATTATTGTATACATGTAATGCAGAAATATTGAAAATTGAACATATATTGAAACATTCAACACTTCTGTATTCTAGGCACGTCATTCAAAGTAACTGTTTGATTATTATTGAAATAAGTCATAGAATAAAAAATAATAAGTTCTTTTCTTAATATATGTGTAAAGTAAAACTTGGACACTGTGGTAGTATGTATTCAAATTTATATTAAATTTGTTTATTAGATATCACACACACACAGTTTGTGAAACAGTGTTATTATTGTTCCCTGGATGACACAGTTTTGAACACAATTGCTTAGCGTTTCATAATCATATCACATCAATGATAATCACACAACTTCGGGAGTTGAGTTTTGTAGTTTTCTTTATTCTTTCCCCTATTCGTCGTCGTGGTGGTAGTAGAATTTTCCAGATGTTCGACTGGAGAGGCGTTGAATCATTCCTGTTACACGTGTTCGCCTCACTTGATTCTAGAAGCAAAGCTCCCAATATCAATCTCTCCATCCACAGTGTTATATTAGATTTTAAAAGTGTCATCTTATCCCATCCTATTCTATGTTTGGTTGTGTATAATTTCATGTAGTGAGTGGTGTAGCTGAACTATTCTCTAGATTTCCTATCTTATTCGGGTCAACTAATTTAGATTTTGCTGCAGTTTTTATGCTCGGCTTGTCTGACTAGCTGCACCCGTTCTACTACTTTGATCTGACAGTCACTGCAGGCGGGGTATATTAAATAAACTAAATTGTATGGTTTTAAAGGCTCCAAGGATTGATCCGTCAATCGACAAAGATTGTATCTAATTGAGTTTGTGGGTGGTTTGAATGCCAGCCATCTTTATTCCTGCCTGCCTTGTTAAGAATTCTTCGTAAGGTGGTTCCCGAGGTTCTTTCATTGTATGGAATTACTACTGATGATTTAGATTCCTTATTGTTGATGTTTTCATTATCCTGTGCATATTTGACATGGATAACGTTATTATTATTATTATTATTATTAATATTATCACTAACACTATTATTAATTTTATTTCTACATTTTCCTACATACTTCCTGATTAATTTATCAGAGCAATTATCAAGTTTCAAAGCTTCTCTTATATGCCTCACTTCCTGTCTTAGATTTTCTTTGGTACCACATAGTTTTTGTGTAATAGGACTGATTCAACGCCTTTCCAATCGGAGATCTGGGGAATTCTACTACCCCTACAACAACGAATAGGAAAGAATAAAGAAGAATATAAGACTCAAGTTTCGAAGTTGTGTGATTATCATTGATGTTTTTTTGTTGTTGTTGTTGTTTTTTATTAAAGCTTGATTCCACACCGTATTTTTGATACAGGTATGGAATTTTCAGCATGTGATATCGGTAGCCCAAATTTTGCAGGCCGACCATAGAAATCAGGTGTGCATCGGCAGGGGATCGAACTCCGGACCATGTGTACGATCGACGAGAGTCCTAACCGCTGTGATATGATTATGAACGCTAAGCAATTGTGCTCGAAACTGTGCTATCCAGCAAACAATAATAACACTGTTTCATCCACTGTGTGCCATATATCTAACAAACAAATTTATATACAAATTCTTTTCTCCTTCATATAATTCGGATAACTTTGCAAACAACTGCTCATTGGAAACATTGACCAATTTTAATTGGATTCCACAAGTGAATATTAAACGCTGACTGAGTGAATAAAACTGTCATCACTTCCCTTTACAACACAGTAATCAATAAGCACGAAAACAAATTTATACAAAAAACATTTATGGGTGAAGAGACAGAACTTAAAATTCATGTTCCATACACTGGATTCGTATCAAGTGCTATGGTAGTGCAGGTGTTCACCTTCGGTTTGACTCCGCGTGAATAGGACCGTAATCATGCACTGCTGAGAAGTTCTCAACCAAAACGAAACAGTTATCCACTACTTTCTATCATTCACTAGCTGTCGAATTGTTGTCAGTTAGTAAGCTAACTTGAAGCGAACCGAATTCCTACAAACCTCAATGGAATAATTACTTGAATAAAGATTAACTACTTATAAGTATGAACAAGGCATTAAGAAGACAAATTTCACGAGATGATGCCATCATTTCGTTGTTTCTTTACAACCGCTTTACAACTAACGTGGTTAACAATGATAAAATAAAGTTCATGAAAATTACTCAGTTAAATAAAAACAAAAGTACATACTAATAACCATGTTAGTTGTAAAGCAATTGTAAAGAAACTACGAAATGATATCATCTCGCGAAATTTGTCTTCTTAATGCCTTGTTCAAATTTATCAAAGGGACTACTTATAAGTAGTTAAAAATGAAACACTAAAAATGGAGAGTGTCCAATGAATTAACTAACCTTTTTGATTGAATAAATCACCTTTCCTTTGATTTAATTCTACTTCATTTGAAATAAGTGAATTCGAATATTTCTTTAAATTTTGTTTTAATTCATCATTTGTAGGCGTTGTCATAGTTACCTGAGGTAAATTTAATAATGATGAATAAGGATTAAGTGTTTCTGGAGATAATGAAGATGTTTGACATGACATTGATGATAGCATGGGAAGCATTAATGGACTTGCAATTTTACTACCTGCAAAGCGAACCTCCTGATGAGTAGAATAAATGTTAGCAGCATCAGTATTAGTACTACAATTAGTATTTTTATCATTATTATTACTTTTACTATTATCGATATTACTCATATAGCATGACTGTAAGTAATTTATCGATGCACTATTAACTGTTGGCATTATCCATGGCCATGATTTCAATAATGAATTAAAATATAACAATGAGTGAGCATAGTCAGTGGACTGATGAAAATCCCTGGAGTCTTGTGTTACTCCATCTACATTTCCAATAAATAAATCTGGCATACACAACTTGGCAAAGGCTAATGCTTTACTCCAAGCACTATGAATCTCTGCATCATTCATGTTAATATTTGCACATGGTGAAAGTGGTGATTTAGTTGTCTGTACTGATGATGACGTCATACCGTTGTTGTTGTTGTTGGTGGTGGTGGTGGTGTTGGGGGCGGTATTGTTACCAATCCTAGTGACATCCGTTGTCATTGGCTGTATTAAATCTGTCGGATACAATTGAAATTTGTTCATTAGGCTTTGATTCAACAGCAGTTCTTGTCGATTATACTTTTCGCATTCGTCTGATTCATATCTAGGCTGTTTTTCTTTATGAAAGCTGCTCATATCAATCATACTACTATTACTACTAATATTCTTTTCAGTAGTAGAAATATTAAGAGGAGTGATAGTAGTATTACTGGTATTATTCAATGTAGTATCATCACTTGATGAAGTGGTCTTTTTCACTAAATTCAATGTTTCATTATTTGCGGATAAATCGAAAGAATTCGAAAAATTGAACATTGAAGGCAAATAATTTAAATAATAACTGAATGGATTGTTGTTTATATTCACCGATGCTGTTGAATAAGCGGTTGGTGTAAACATTGTTGCTGAATTAGATAGTATATTGTCAGTACTGTTAATATTATTTGTTGTAATTGTAGAGAATGGTGACAATGTCGATGTTGATGCTGACGATGCTGATGAGGATGGAGACAAGGTTGAATTGAAAAACGTATACGGGGATTTGGTTAAATTTAAAATATCATTCATCATTGTAGTCGACATCTGGTTGTCTGAGAGAATTTTATTAGCTTGTATATTGCCATTACCAGTGTTGTTCAAATTCACTGAGGCGGATAGATTAACGCCTACCAACGGATTGGTATTGAATGATTGTGCTGACATTGATGCGGATGATAATAAAGATGGCATAGATAATGAAGACAATATTGACGGTGACGGTAGCGATGCGGATAGCGGTGATGTTCCAGGCGGTGGAACTCGTGATGGTAAGAAGGAGGACAGTTGAGATAGTTGGTGTTGATGATAATGATGATTTGATTGACGATTTGTTTGTGTCTTATGATGCCCATCATTTAAATATAGTGCTACTTGTCGACGTAGCGTAGAATTTCTTGGCCCTCTTTCATGTTGAACAGCTAAAATGAAATAAATTTTAAAAAAGGCATTTACTAACTGATCAATTTGGTTATCATTTAATTAGATTATTACTGAATCGGTAGCAGATTGCTTGAATAAGGCGCTTCTAGTTTATTAGGTTCAATATTGACATTTGACACAACGGTGTTTTCTAATGATCAGCTAGATATCAGTTCTGCTTCAGTTGTCAGACTCAACAGTTGAAGACAGCAGAAAACTAAACAATCGAAGCCTGTCGGTTCTACTCTTAGTGAGCTCATAGATAACGGCTGTTTTCACAATCTGAGGAGGCGAAGTTTCATCGCAGTTATTCTCTGAAAACCAAAATTGTTCAAACCGCACAGTATGTGATCTACTGGCTATCGAGATGATCTAAACGCCCGACACAGATGTTTCAGTTGTTCGAAGCCGAGCTCATCAGTGGTGTACCTAGTTTGACTTAGACCATGGAGCTGAACCAGTTGGAAGCACGTGATTTCTGGTTAGCTAATTGGTCCAACTGATCATGTCAAAAGTTATATTGACAATCTGCAGTGTACATAGCTGGAGGAGCCCAGTTTTCGCCAATTTTTCCTTCAGAAATTGAAATTATTCAGATCGTAATCAGTGATCTACTTGGATACTTTACTGGGTAATCAAAGAAATCAAGCTTAAACCGATAAAAGTATGTACTACTACTGACTAACCAATATAAGTAGTTGTATAGCACACATATCCGATCGAAGTTAATCTAAATCCTGACAACTGACTACCCCCTACCAATGAGTAGTAAGTGCGGCATCATACTATTTCGCTCGTTTTCTTGATTCCTATTTAAGACATTGAACAGATCATGCAAGATACGCCTTCATTAACCTGAAACCAGTTTGAAAATCATCTACACTCAGCCAGCGTAAAGGACAAGATTCAGATTTTCAACACCTGTGTCAAATCGGTCAGTGCTTCTATACGAGCCAGAAACTTGTCTAGCGTGTCACGAAAGTGATTTCCAACAGCCTGTTGCAGACTTTCATCAACAGCTATCACCTTCACTCGCTAGCTCCCTACTGAAGATCAAATAGATGGCCGGCTAGCCAGTAAGAATTAGCAACAAGAAACTCTGGTTGAGAACAAACCGACAGGCAAGAGCCGATCGATCAACAAATCTGTGGGAGAAAATGGAGACGAATCGGTCAGGCATATATTGAAGAAACCGTTGAATGGCATCGCGTGCAGTGCAGGCCATCTCTCGAGTGAAATCCAAATAGAAAGTGACAAGTTGGTCATCGATGTGAGGGTGACATGGCGAAGATCATGTGAAGAAGAGACGAGAGATTATCGTCAATCGTAAACCCAGATGAAAAGGACGGTTAAGAAATAGGAGAAAGTGTACATGTGTTGTTGGAGCCCTGTGTTCCACTCGGAACGCAATACAGATCACATTTATCGTGATCTGAATAACTTTGCTTCTCAAAAGACACTATGGTGACATTTCGTCTCTTTGAATTGTACACATTGCATTATGGCATTACTAGTAGTTGAGGCAAGTAGCTAGCCGGAAATCTGCATGGTTTCAAACTGATTTACCCCTCTGACTGAGGTGAATCAAACTGGATATACCACTTAAAAGAGTTAAACTTCAAATGGGTGAAACAGACATCCAGTCTTCACACTCATCTTTGCTGATCGTATCTGTATTGACTTTTCAACGAAAAACTATCACAATGTCCTTTTCAAGGCCTGGTCTGTAAGGATTATTTGATTTTTTTTCAGATTGATATCAGTTAAACAACCACAAAAATAAGTCAGAATTTCTTGGGCCATTCATCCGGGTCCCAATGATGGTTGAGTGGTTTATAAACTTGACTTGTCACTGGATGGTCGTGGGTTAAAATCCAAGTGAATGAGTGCTGGCAATTAGTCCCAAATTAGGACAAAACAGACAGCTGTCAAATACTCTTGGCTGATGTTAATCCATGGTTGAAATTATCACACTGTCATCTTTTGTAATTGATCACGAATATGAACATTATACATATATGATCTTTAAAGCGACATCTGATGAGTGGTTCCAGTGTACTGGAAATTTGGAACATTCCATTGTTACCATTATTATTTTCATAATTAAAAGTCAATCTAGAACAAAGAATATTCTTTTCAGTAATTTCTCCTCCTCAGGTTTTTACACACTATTATAAAATATAATATTTGTTGTCGTAACAATAATGATAGCCAGTCTTGCGGTGGATACATTTTTAATGTAGAACCACCGATTAGTTGTTATGTGGTGTCAAAATAAATAGTCGTGACAAATGTGCTCTGGGCTGAAATCGATTACAAAATATTTCGGTGAAATGGGAAAGAATGGTGGTGATTAGTCATAATAGATTCGTAGAATGTCAGTTCAAGTCTATAAAAGGTGTCAGGTGAGTGAGTGAGTGAGTGAGTGGCTAGTAAAAAGCGGTACGTATTAAAGAGGAGATAGATAGTAAGACTGCAATAAGAAGTTCATCATAATATAACCAATATATGAAATGAAACAGGTGGAGGAATATATTTAGAAAAGAGATAATATAACTAATAATAAGTCTGGATAGTATAAATGGAAAATTCGAAAGCATTGAGTGAATATTTGCATGAAGGGTATCAATTATGACGAATAATAATATTAATTGTAATTGTAAGCAAAGAAATAAAAAAACAAGAGGGTTAGTGGGAAGAAGCACTCTCGATGAGATGAAGAAGAAGAATTATCACTCCAAGTTTGGCAATCGTAGGGACAGCTACTGGACGTGTTCATTTTGGGATACAAAGTTCCGGTTTAGTCGATCTTATTGTAACAGCTTCAGCTATGTGTGCAGGAGACGTAAGAGAAGTGTGCGTGATAACGACTTCGGAATTCGCTATATAACCCTGAAAGCCCAGCACGTAGAACTTCAGGCTAGAGGCTTGAAATCTCAGTAGCAGTGGATGTTTATTTTTACGGGATGCATTGGTTGATAGCCTCATGTCACCAACCTTCCCTCTTTACCAGTCTTATTACTACTAGTTTAGCGAGGTAGAGGAATACGTCGTCAGCCAGCGGTTGAACCCCGGAGCACATGTGTGGTTGGCGAGCATTCTACCGCTGTGCTACCGGTGCACCTCCCACAAGTTACTCTATAGTAAATATATGTATTGAAGTGTGACTGCATTCACTCTAAGCAATTTTGAATAGCTTCGTAACATGCTTTAAACAGCTAATCGTCCAACACTTTTATGTTTTGAATATATCTTCAGGTGATATCAGTTAGATTCCACTGGTTACCTCAATGTAACAAAACTATATATATATATATATATATATATATATATATAAGATTTGTGATCCTAACAGATTGGAGGCGTACATATAAGTAGAAGGGATGTAAATGTCAGTGTGTATAAAATGAATTCACGAAAAATCTCTATTCATCTCATATGATTTCAATCACTAAGGCTATTTGAAAATGAGACAAACTTTTCTAACTTGCGCAATATTCATCATATTTTTCGCCTGACAACAACAACAGCACTAACATAATGAAAAACTTATCCATCTGCACAGCATACCAATAGACTCATCAAGCAGAGAAACAAGCTATTAATGCGCGCCCATGTTTGTGTGTGTGTGTGTATGTGTATGTGAATGTGACAGTGTGTTTGCGTCTAATGTTCGTGTCAATCTTTAAGACAGATTACGTCATATTTTAACAAAGGTTAATAATATATATACGTTTAAGTAAGGTCAAGGATGGGACAGATGTGTTAGTTTGCTGGTCAGAACATCACTTATTTCCCCTGCTTTATTATTAATCCATCCTGAATGACCTTAATGAATATTATAAATTTGAAAAGGGTTTAAGTAAGTAATACCAGTGGCAATAATACTAATTGGACAGAAGGTGAGATTTGTCGGAGGAAGAATTGAAAACATACAAAAGTCACATAAATCGAATTAATTCATCGGCTTATTCCTTCCATTCAAAAGTGGCAATCTCTTCTGGTGCGTGTGTGTGTGTATGCGTGCATGCTTGAGTGGTAGGTCAAATTTGCGTCACATGTCCACGTGTCAGATTCATATTACTTCCTCGGTCAACATCAAACCTCACCTCACCTCACCCCAGTGATATATCCACATAACAACATTTCACTTGACTACAAGTGACACATACACACACAGATTAATGTAATTTTTAAAAAAAATCAATAAAGAGATGATGGAGAAGTGACCACATGTCTTGTTACCAACCTTCTGTTGCTACCGTTCAAGTTGAACTAAGAAGCTGCTGAAGAGTGGGGATGGGGACCGGCAGATGGGAGAAGAGAGGGACGGCGTACGAGGAAGATGACTTTCGTGATGCAATATTTCTTCTCTTTTCTTTTTTTTTTTAATTAAAAATCAGTTGGAAGACATTCTTCACTTTTATTCACACACACACACACGCACGCACACACACACACACATCCTATAAGTGGACATACTCTAGAAAGTTTCCCCTTAATCTTTACACATTATAAAAAGTGAAACGCCTACTTCTGACAGTTTGCTTTTGAAAAGATAAGCATATATATATTATATAATAAAATGAAGAAAAAGCCTTTATAGTTGCTAGGCTTGTTGAACATTGAAATGGTAGAAAAATATATACATGAGACACGCAATTGCTAAACATAAAAAATGTTACAATATTCAATAGCGTTGGTTTGTAAGGAATAGATTTGCTTTTTACAAGTTGATCATGGATTGATATCAGTTAGAGAACCATTGAAAACCAGCCACAGGGAGTACTGGACAGCCGATGATTCCAAAATTAGGCTGATGAAACAGCTGTCCAGTACTCTCTGGCTGGTTTTCAATGGTTCTCTAACTGACATCAATCCATCATCACCTCGTAAAAACAAATGTTACAATATTAATATTGTTATTAGTATATCCTTTAATTCCTAGAGGAACATAGGACTTCAGCTGTGCGTCTCCATTGCCTTCGGTTCTCTGCCA